TGTCTGACTGCACGAGTTCGAGTAGAGTGCCTTGATCAGTGTAATGTATTTCCTCGGCATTCCATTTACAGCCAAATATCACCAGAGTATCGCTCGGTGGACAGAATCGAATACTACCTCTAGGTCAAGAAATATAACGATTATTGGACGCTGGTTAGTACACCTATGTTCCGTTCGAGAATTTGTCGAAGGCTGCAGGCATGATCAATACACCCTCTTCCTATTCTAGAGCCCTCCTGGTTCTCTCGTGTTAGTGCCTCCCGAGCACCACAATTACAAATAAGATAACGAGTATGACACTACTATCATTTCATAGGATCTTTGAAATGATATTGGCCATCCTGCTGTAGTAGGCCCTCCTCAAACTGCTATCAGTCCCCCTGTGAGTCGCTTAAACCATCTGATGAAACTTAGCATTGAGCTTCCTTCAGTAATATTAGATTAACTAGGATTCGTATGTCACTCTATGTCGTTTAAATCTTTTGTGAATTCACCGGGTCAGCCACATGCGAATTCTTGATGTACCCACTTAGACTTGTATGCATTTACTTCCCAAAAAGGATTACAGTAATAAGGCGCATTAACACCAGCCTGATCTGCACCTATCGTAGTTCTCAAGATAAAGGATGGTTATTATGCATTTATGTTACCTTTTCCAATGGCATGATTTCCGGCCTACAAAAAAACCCACTATCTTCTAATTATTCCAGGTGATTTATCCACAATTCCAAGTGATAGCTGTTGATTACCAAAATTAGAGCATATTGACGAATATCTCTTTACCAGAGTAGCTCCAGGAAATCAAGAACTCTTGAGCAATCATACACATCGGAGTCTTTTTTATTACAACAGCTAACTTTTTGGAATTGAAATTTCTCCAGTTATTTTCCAACCACTGATGGATATAATGTTATCTGTTACTCTATGTGTAGCTATCTAGACAATGTCTTACTTGAAGTTAGATTTTTGGCAACTGTCTTGCCACGGATTACTAATGTGGCTTTTATAATGAGCTGTCAAATACCTTGAACTTATGTTTGACACATATGGTAGATATCCTGATTCTAACAACCATGAAATAACATTAGGGAGGAATGCAGCCTGTGAATAGTCAGAAAGATGAAAACTTTTCTCACCTCGTATTTGCTTTTGATACCTTATGACCCAAATATTCCCACTAGCTGTGTAGTACATACTCTAACCTACATAGTGGGAACACTGGATGTACATATATTTTCAAAAGGCTGTTACACTTATCTCAAAAACGCTGACAACCAAAAGTTCTTTAAAGCAGCCAGTTTTTCTGTTTACAGACTATGAGCTATTTTCGTCGATTTCTGCTCAAAATCTGCATTTGCAACCAACTGACTGCAACGGCAGACAACCATTTTCCAATATGCGATCAACAATATACATATACTTGAATCACTGATTGTAAACAAACCAGTGCACCCACCCATCAGATTTTATAGAAATTGAACTAATGACATTGTAATTAGAACAACTGCCTCCAAAGAATACACAGTTTCCCTTAAAGATGGTACTGCTCTACCACTAACAGTTCCTGTTTAGAGTGCAGTGCCATACATATATCGAAGTTCTAAACGAATACACAGTTCAGTGGAGCTATAATATCTTTTTTGGCTTGCCGTAAACCCCTGTGCATAGTACAAGAGTACTTAATACCCGAGGAGCACAAAAGCAATAACTCTTAAGGCTAAGGTTCTCAAACAATAGCACACGCCAGATCTTAGGATGCAGTATACCAAGGGGGTATGGATATTGGCGAAATACGAATAATATCGTCGACTGTGTCAAACCATTTACCTCATATTCTCATAGACTCTGCTTCTCTCACCGATGGTATTTCTATATATGATGGAGATATGACACCGTTTGGTATAAAAAGTAAATAAAACGCGGAAAAACAAAATCAAGTTAGTAGAAAATAACAAGGCTGTTAACATAATGGCAGAAGTGATTGCATGCTTTTCTCCTGTGTGTAGAGCTCCAGTTTCTCTATCTGAATGTCAAAGACTTTAGAAATACATCCTATGTTCCCCGTCAGCACTAAATCCAGTCACAATGAGACAAATCACTTAGCTGTAAACTATTGATAAGGATCGGTAGAAAACTGCCACTCCTTCTGTGAAGCACATACTTGAACTGTGTTTACGAATTAGTCCACGCATGCATTCAGCTACACCTGAAAGGACAGAAAACAATTAGCTGAGGAACTTCTACACCACCAACTTCTTGATGAAGTTTTCATCTGAAGAATAAATAACTCAGCCCGTATCTTATATTGATGCAAAAGCTAGTCTCCAGGAAAATCGTTATAGTATCCAGTCAGCTGTAGAAATTTAGGTGGATGTTTTTCGTAACCTGAAAACAGAGGTAAGTAAATACAAAATATTTCTACTGCTTTATTCAAATCGACAGACACGAGAGTATTGATTGATTTTGGTGGGATGGGAATATGACTAGTGGAAAAAGTTGCTCGAATGAGAAAGGACTTGGTTTCCATAACGACCGTGAACAATAGTGTCCGACGAAATCCAAAGAGATGGACACAACATCGGTCATAGGTGAAACCAGGTAGATAAAGCTACTTAGATTCATTAGGGAAACGAGTTGTAAGCACCGATCGATAAGTGAAGCAATTTCCGAAGACGGAATTTCACTTTGTCAACCGTGTGTGTGTATCTGTGTGCCGTACAAATGTCTGGCTGCACACAGCGACGACAACGTGTTTATCTCGCACTGATCAACACACTGAGCGATCGAACTCAAGTGGCCGTGTAACGGTTTATGGAGTTGTGTCATCTGAAGTAACGACAACCAGTGATGTCTGTCCAATCAATATTTTTCATTTTTCTTTAGCCTAGTCATAGATGTTTTAATGAATTTCATCCTAGCCGACTCTAGAAACTTAGAGATTGACTGGTGTCTCAACGGGGAAGGGTCTCGTCGGTCGGGAGTATGTAGATGATATTGTCCTTGTGGTGGAGAAATCGACAAAATACAGTCTTCTGAACACCTTAAACCAAGATATCGGTATGTGTTGTTGGTATGCGATTCGTCCGTGTCAAACGAAATCTGATGCCGCAGGACTGGCCTGCACCGAACCACTCTGACTCGCATGTTAGAGATTAGGAGTGTCTGTATGTGCAGTGGTTAAGTGTGTTGACCACTGCCTCACCTATGTCGGAAGTTGCATAATCCCTAATGGGATTGATTACTAACGAAATGTCAACATTGATACCGAAGGCTCGTGTGGAATTCACCGACTTATATCACCTCTCACACAGCCACGAAGTGAGGCTATCGACAGAAGGACGCATTTACTGCTCAGTGGTTCAATTTTCTCTTTATGAGTGTGATACATAGTCACCGAACATGGAAGGCTTGAGGAGTTTAGTTGTCTTTGACCATAGGTATCTATCGTGTAAAGTGGTGTCATCATACAGTAAATAATATTGAAGTTAGGCTCACGGTGTTGGGTGACGAGTGAGAGAGTCAATCAATGAAATCGTGAAACTGCATCGACTGAGTGAGATGAGCCAGAATATGTGTTATGCATGTTAAGCGATCGCCTTCAGAGTCGAGCAATGTTAGATGAAATGTGACTGAGCTGGAAAAAGTGAGGAATGATGTTTTTCACCATTAATCATTATAAACCGTCTGGGAATGACAACTATAAGAAATTCATCTACTACTAGGTTAGGTAGTGAAAAGGCAATAAATCATAAGATACCTATGCAAAAGTGAGGTTGTTGTGTTCGATAACTAACTCTACTTCTTTTATATGCTTGTTTCATTTTGATGCTTAAACACACCTGAACTTGCAACAAATCTTGTGTATCATTGTAGAGTATTTCTAGGTAGATGAGAAACTAGTGAAGTTTTAGAATTATTGACAATATGGCATGAGAAAGTGACGCATAAAAACAGCCGCTGATTTTCTGTGAAATGAATCCCAGTAGTAGTAAGCCATCAAATCAAAAATATCATAGGGCATTGTTGGGTTTATGCTACAGATTAAACTGTATCGCGTCGGCTGATGTACTATGTACTGCTATTCTACTTGAAGACACTGGACGAAGAGGAAATAATCACGTGGACTACACTACACTAGCAACTTTATAAATTTCTGAAAACATTTTGTCCAGAACAAAGCTAGTTATGAGTGTTGAATTTTAAGGTGATACCGCAGCCGAGATCCTGAAGAATCACTTATGCAGATCACTGAAGAAAGCCTTCTTTATGGCTGAGCTACGTATCAATTTCTACAGCCGACAAATGATCAAGGGATGTGTGAAGGATAAACTGCCGCTTTGGGCCACCTCAATGTGTGTTTATAAATTCACCTGCTCGTGTGGAGCTAGTTATATTGACCGCACAAAGCGCACGCTTTCCAAACGCATCTCTGAACATTATCCGGCGTGGTTAGCAAAGGGACAATGTAAGACAATTACTAGCTCAATTCTCGAGCATCTGGTGCACTCAGGCCACGTTGCTCCACCAGAATCGTCTTTCAAGATCATCTACAAAGTGAAGCCAATTGGTATAAAGGGTGTCAGGTTTCGGCTTTTGTGTGTGGCGGAGGCGCTGTCAATTCATCAATACAACCCTGGACTCTATATACAGAAAAGGTTTGTCCAGTCTCTTATTCTACCTTGGTCTTAACCTCTTCACTAATCGTTCCCTGTAAGACATTTTTCTTTTTGTATTATTTTTTTAATTTTTGATTCTACTTTTAGTTTGCTTTTGTTTTAATAATTAATTAACTACTGTCAATCTCATATGCTCCTTTTGTATATTTTCACACCCACTTCACACGTGTTAAATTGACACTCAAATAGCTCTATTCTCACTCAAGAACAATTTTGACCTTATCAAACTTCTATTTTTGTTCCGTTGAGTACCATGTAATTTTACAATTATGTTGTTGTTCGTTTTTCTTTTTGTTTCTTCTCTTATTGTTCTTTCTCATTATTTTATATCATTCGTGCTTCTTCTAGTGCAGAAATACGTGAATCAGATGCAGTAAGCTGTGATGGTGGTGGAGGGCCTAATGGACGACGTCCTGAAGACCAACCGCCTAAAGAACCTGGTGTACATTCAACAATAGCACAATCCACACAATCTCCAATTTGGAATTTTTTCGATATAAGCATCACTGCTGAATCATCAACCAAGTTGAAAGGTTTCTGTGAATTTGTATTATTGTTACTATTGTTGTTCATCCCATCATTATTGGGCTCCTCATCAAAATTATCCCAGAATTTATTCCATAGCCGGTAATCACAACACCAAGTTGATGACGTCCATATGTACCTCGACTGTCAGGATAGACCACGGCGAAATGCATACGTGTCCCTCGACGTCTAGCTACACGCACAACACTACGAACTTCTTCAGCTAATTCTGCAAGACTTGCATCAATCCAAGTATTCAATTGTATTTCATTCTCCGGCATTTTCCCCTTATTATAATCTGATAGCGAATAATGCCGTGAATTCGTTGAATAAAAATACGCAACAGGATAGGACATGCATTCTCTCGATCAATACCACTTGGTATTATTGGCTGCGGGATAGAACGATGATATTTGTGCAACATTGAACGTCGGATTGCCTTTCTTGATCGTTCATCTTTTGTACGTCTTTTATTACTATTATGACTAGTAACAACTGATCGTGAATACTCATCTATAGACTTCAAGTTTTGATGCTTTGAACTCGGTTGTTGTTTTTCAGCATAATCATCGTCTGGTTCAGGATCGTGTAGTGAACGACGTACAATAATACGTCTAGTCTCTTCACTTGGAGGTATGTCGACTACTGTTGTTGTACCAGTTGAAGCAAGATGTACCGAGGAGAATAGAGCTGGTGATCTACTACTACTTCGTGTTATGATACGATTACCATGTTTGCCAGAGGATGACGACAACAGTTTACGACGATCATCTCTCTCGGAGTCACTGTCAACAACACCATCATCATTGTCATCGACAAGTGGTAGTGGTGCTTTCTGCCATCTGGATAGTGGGGAGACAGGTCTGACAGGACTACGAAGATTTGTATTACGTCCGTTTTCCATTCTATGTTTGTTTGTTCAGGCAATAAATCACAAGAGTAAAACCGTGACAAATTTTATTCCATACCATGTAATTTACAACTTTTAATTTTCACTTCTAAAGCCACTTATGATTAATTATATCAATTATGTCACCCACTATTACTCAATAATAGACCACTATACACTTTTCTAAGTATAAATACGATTGTACAGCCTCTGAAGATGATTTCGCCGATAAAGAAAATTTTCTTCGCTGAATCTTCATGATAAGGCTAGTTATTATAATATCCATCTTAGTGCCAAAGTGTGGCATCCACTGCCTTTGAATCTCCTTGATATAAGTACAAGTCCTTACGAGAACATTTCTTTCTTCACAATATATTTAAAAACATTAAAGAAAGAAAAATATGCAACATTAAAGAAATATTATCACTGTTAATAACACGATTAATGAATACAGAAGCTTGCTACTTAACATACACACACCATGATCATTCGGTAAATGTTAAGCAAATGTCTAAAGAAAACAAGACAGATTGAATTTGAATCACAGTAAGCAGAAAATCACAACAAAGATACTTCTCAAAGAGAAAAAACCTTCTGTGAATTCGCAATATGATGCAGAGGAATTCATTTCTTTTTATTTAATAGTCTCCTTTTTTTATCTGTTGTTAATTGTTTTTCCTCTGCTGACAAGGAGGATTCAAACGGACTCGATGAAACTATCTCCGACTTTTTGTGTGGAGAGTCGGAGGGATTTACTATAGTATTACTGCTATAGGTTGATGTTGAAGTAGTCGTGTTAGTAGCAAGTGAAGTAGTAGTAGTAGCAGCAGTGACAGTATTATTTTCAACAGAAGATGAGGATATCACAATTTCACTGGTTTCTTTCATAGTCGATTTTAGTTCATTTCGACTACGAAAAATGTCCAAAATTAATTGCTGATCACTTGATTTAACACCCTATAAAAACAAGAAAAACAACAACAGAAAACAAAAGCTTTAGATCTTAAGAATAATGACTATGAAATACGAGGCACAAGAACACGGATATGGTTATCCTATCACAAAAAACGAGAAAACTATCTGAATATAAATTACACAATGAAGTAAACACTCAGAAATCTGTGTTGTTCAGTAGTCCGCAATACTTTACACCATATATTTCGAAACGTATCGACAAAAGATCATGCTTTGAAAGTTCAGTTCATCTTAGTTTAATCAACGTCTACATAAGTAATTCAAACAGAAAACAACAAACTTACAGATTCGGAAGAAAACTACGATTGGGATATTTTTTTTCTAAATATTTCCAACATGCGACCCAATGCATGGACATGAGTGACTTCTGTTTAAGTTATCTTAATAATTTGAAGTTTCTGACGTCATTCTCCACCTTGTTCATTGTCATCAGACTAGTACACGTTCTACTTCACAAGGAAACATGTTAATATTTCGAAATGTCTGTCTGTCTATTTCTGTCTGTTTTCGACATAGAACTTTGCACATATGTGCGGAAGTTCAAGTTGTCACACTCCATGTAGCACACAAAGCAAGACAGAAAAGTACAAGAAAAGCATAATAGAGACAGTAAACAGAGGTGTGAGACAAAGGAAGAGTAATAACGAAGAACAAAACAGTTTCATTGGAAATCATAAGTCACAAGGAGTGGATGCATCTGCGCCACTGAGAACGATTTTGACCATGTCACCAATTGTTTCCAACCATTGGTTTTTACCGTCCCGAGGATCCCAACCAGGAAGCCAGTCTACACCTTCCTACGTGCCTTAGACTAACTGTTGTAGATTTCATTGACTGGCGCCGCCATGTTTTTGTTTGACCTCCGCTAGCTTTTTTCCAGCCAGGAGTGATAAATATGCTACTGAGACACACAAAACAATAACGAAATTTCGAAATGTCATTAACAACCAGTCCAGGAGGCGATTTCTAAAGAGAAAGGCAGTATACATAAAACCGAAACTGAACTAGTGTACACTCAGTATTTCATTTAGATGAGTAACGTGTGTTAGTTGAATATTGAAAAAAAAGAACAACTTACTTTCATGTCTAGAACATTTTGCAAATCAGTTTGAGTTGAATCAGGCAACAGTTGTTCATAACTAGCTAGAAATACGTTGGCTGCATTCGTGTCTATCGGACCCATAACAAAACCACTTGGAGGATTGACTGATTCCTGCTTTCCTGATGTGGCAACACCAACTGGTAGCATAACTGCCTTGATAATACGCTCAGCCTTTCCCATTCCTTCATGAACTAGATTTGTAAAACTTCGTGGAGGTGCTTGAGTGAACTTAAAATCATGCAAATCAAAATTTTCCTAAAGTTAGTATTTTACTGAGCAATAAAAAAATCTCATACAATCGGTTCCCTTTATTATTTGAAATAAAGAAAGAACAAACATATTTGCAGGATAACACGAGCTTGTTCTATTTTGTTGATTCTACTTAACTGTGTACATCCTAGACAAAATCAATTATCAAGTATTGGTTTTGTAAGGAATTTTGTTTCATTGGTTGAAGGATTTCATCATGAGCTGACATCAGTTAGAACCATTGGAGAAACCTGAGAGCACTGGGCAACTGTTTCGTCCTAGTTTGAGATTCCTAATCAGTACGCACCCATCAGGGTTCGAACCCAGAACCTTCTAGTTATAAGCTAAGGTTGGATCAAAGATAGCATGACCAACTTCTCATTAGCCTGGTAACCGTAATTGTTTTATGTGTGTGCTTTTGTGTTTTCTCCTCCTGGCAAAACAATCAACTTAATTTTGATTTTCACTCATCGAGTTGAACTCACCATTAAGTTTCCAAATCTACTAGATTATTTTGTCAACCTTGTAGTTTTACTTTACTATTCACCTTTACCCTCATGAACTTTCTACAATAGTATGCATAAGTGCAATCTGTTGTTCTATTTTGTATTTTGTCTCTAGTCTATCCTTGTTCTCAAGCGAAATCTGAAGTCTCCCCCCCCCTCTGTCTAATTATTATATAAATATTGACCAATTCGTCTCCTTACATCAACTCTGGAATTATTTTGTCTATGCTTTCTTCCTCTAACTCGAAGTTATTGTAAAAATTAGGTTCAGACACCATTTTGTTACTCATAATTGACTTTGTCCGGGATGTACGCAGATGAAGAGAATCCACGAGATAAAACAGGCTCATATTATCCTACACACATGTTCTTTCTTTCTTTATTCAAAATAAACTTTATCTGAAACAATAAAAACTAGGAGGAAAAAAATGAAGTCTATTCGTGAAACATATATCAATCTCAAAAATTCACAAATTCGGAAATAAAAGTAATAATATGCAAAAAAAGGCATTAGCGAACCGGTTTTGATAATATTAGATAGAAACTTTTGTATTTGTTATCATAACGGTCAAACTCTACAACCATGAACAAAGGAAATCAGTAACATTGTAACAGTAGAAGACAAAAGACTTGGTAAAGGAATGGTTATTTGAAATTTGGTATATCTATGTAGCGAAATTATGTACACCTTATCATCAAAACAGCATTTGCACAGATCTTTCGTGTTGTTCTACTTCTACCTTCCATATTGTGTTTCTTTGTCTTTTTTTTCGTGTCTTCTCTGTTCTGTAGCGATGCAGAATTATTCGCTCTATTTGACGTCAGATCTATCTCTCCGCTATCTGATGCTTATATGCCGGTGAATGTCTCTTCATACACTAGTGACAAATCTTATTAGTAGTACACGCCAAACTATGAATAAATTAACCTACTTTAGACAAAATACTATCTAAAAAATCCTATTTTCCCCAAAATCAAAAAGAATTAACTGAACAAAAGGAGTGCATAGGGATAAAAGAAGTTTTGTACATAACACTCATCTGTATGGCAGAAACACTGGTTTCTAATGTGTACCGAAAATTAACAAAATTCATCAATGGAATCTATACTTGAAAAGTAATTTTTATGGATTTACGAATATTCATGAGAAGTGTTAACTTGAGAGTACATTTGAATGTTAAAAAACCAAACAGTAATAGTAAGCTCACCTTGGCACCAAACAGAGGTACTTGAAGAAGAGAAGCTTTCAATGACTGTGTATCCAGCAAAAGCTGTTCAGCTCCAAAAGTATTAACCGGTTTACAACGATACAAAGAATTCACAAACCTTGTGATTAGTGTATCCGCAAATTTTATGCATATCTGCGTAAAAGCTGGCCTAACAATACACAAAGAAGTACACTGTTATATGGTTTTAAAAATGATAAAGGATCCAATAAAATTTGGAATTAATAATATTACCTGACAGTATACAAAGTTTCTCGTATAAGAGGAATTTGAGTACGCAGATGATTAACAATTGCTGTTACATATCCACTTTGATCTCCTACTTGAACAAAACTGTTCCACGGCAAACGTGCCATCGCTGTCAACTGCGGTTCAACTCCAGCCTCTAAGTCTGCCACTAAACGGTGAACACAAACAGACCTGCATGTAGCCAAAGCGTCGAGTTCAGAAGTAAATGATATTTTTGACGCCCAACTAGGCGGTCTGACCTATACAAAGATTTAGAAAATAAATCCTGAATCACAATAAAATCAGAAGGCGTTATAAGTAATGAATATGATGGTCAAATACATAAAGTCAGGAAGTAAATGAAATAATACCAGTTTATCCCCATGTTTTTAAATCTGTTTGAAAGATTTAAACAAAATACTTCTGATCTGGAGACATGAGAAGTACCAGTTGAGAATAACGAAATATCATATGATACAAAAATAACGAATAGGATGATAACTACCTAGCAGTGCTGCCAGTAGATATATCCTCGGTAGTGGTCATTTTATGAATTCTAACACAGCTTCCCGGATGCATGTTAGACAAACAACGTGATGGTAGATTACGATAGGCGAAAGCAGTAGCATTCCCCCAATCGAAGCCTAACTTATGCATATGCAAAAGGCATTTGTGATCTGCTTTGTATCGCCTTGAAAACGTGTTGCTTCTTTATTTAATTATTTTATAATTTACCCTATCATCCTCTTACCATTCCTAAGACACTATTCACCTGCCTAACACTTTCCACTATCTTAACCTTGCTTTTCAGTCTATCCTATAGCGCTTTACAGTGTGCGTCGGTGATTCGAGAGCAAAATGCTGGCCAACCACGCCACACGTGGTCTAGAGTTCGATCCCCATCCAACGAACTCCCACACCTCGCTTAGCTGATAATAAATCAAGCAAAGCGGGAAGGTTGGGCGCCAGACTAGTGATTCCACCCAGTAAAAATGAAACCACTGCTACCGAAACTTTAAGGCTCTAGTTTAAAGCCCCATATTCCACTGGGAACGTAAAGGAATAAAATAATATTGTTTTACCACTATTTCAACTCGTTTCATACAGCATCCGTCAAATCTCAGGTGCTTCAACTACATTAAATTCTCTATCACCTTGAATCTTAATCACACCTTGTCAGTATTATGCTGAATTATTGTTCTATTTCATCCGGATAAAAATTAACAGTATCATTCGTCATCTACATAGTAATTTGTATTATTATTGCTCCTTTGGGTTCCTAGTGGAACATAGGGCATCAACTGCACGTCTCCACTCGCTTCTGTCTTCTGTTGTGCTTTTCACCTGCATCCATGTTAGCCCATACTGTTTCAACTCCTCTTCACAAGATCTCCCTACCCATGTCACCCTTGCACTGACGTCTCACTCGCCGCTTCCCTTCCGGCCTGATTCCACTAGAGCAAGGGCCTGACGCGCGCGCGATGTCACCCAGTGGCCTCCTCAGCCACGAGTCTCCAACCCATCTCCACTTTCTCCTGCATACTTGTTGGGCGAGCGACTGGTTCTTGTTTTGTTTGTTCCCATAGTTCCTTATTGGTGATTCTTTCCGGCCCGGCCATCTAATCTTCAGTATAGAGCGAAGAGAGTTGTTGATAAAGGTCTGGTCTGCAGCAGGCTGTTGGAAATATTCTTTGTGACCCGCCCGCCAAGTTTCCATCCGTATAGAAGAACTGACTGACTTGACGTGTTTGTATTGAAAATCCGACCGAATTTTGTTGTTGATGCTGAGTGACGAAGATTTCCAGATTCATTTCAGGTTGATGAATGTGTTTCTCGCCTTCACAGTTCTCGCTCGATTTGACATCCTCGTCTGTTCCAACTGCCTGTAGTTGAGATAATGCTCCCTAGATAGGTGAATGAAGTAACCTCTTTCAAATCCCTCCCGTTGATGGTGATTGTCGCTGGATGTTGCTTCTCTTGTTGTTGTTGTTATTATTGGTTGGTTATTTTCATAACCTCCGTCTTGTCTATGTTCACCTGGAGTCCTGTCTTTGCCGGCTGCTTCTTCAACCAGTTTGTCGGTTTTCGCTTGTAAGTCTTAGATTTTGTGTCACATCAAACATGAATCATCCACGCGCGAAATCCAGGTCTTCTAGGTTCTTCTCGTCGGTCCAGGATATCCCTGTCTGCTCGTTTCCCACTGTCTGACGCATAATCCAGTCCACCACAATTAAGAATATCATTGGTGATAATAAGCACCATTGTCTGACTCTGACATAGTAATTTGTACTTTTACTATAAATTGTATCCCCTTTTTTCCCTCATATTAGTACTGGTGTGTAGGTGTGGAAATACTCATTTCGTGGTGCTTGCACCATTAAATTAATATCAATGACATCTTAAGCACACACACATACACAAAAATTTTCCCTCCAGTGAGTATGTTGAACAAATTCGATTCAATAAAAAGGCCATAATATTTATTCGTCTTGCTGCATTCAAAATGATAGTATGAATCACATTCAAACAATGCTAAATTTTTCCGAACAGTGGGTCTTTATTTTAAATCAAATAGTAATTAAGTATTTGATGTGCCTACCTACTATGTGAATAACTCTAAGCTTTCAAAGACTTCAAATCCATGAAATCTGCGAAAACAATAGAAATAATTCCTTAAATATAAAAAATTAAGCAGATGACAAGGTACTGAAGACCACTCTGGATAAGACAAAAAATTGTAAGAAGATTTTTTAAAATAACATGGTGAATTTATGTAGGAATGTGCAAACCACCTATCAACTACTGTTTTCAATTTTACATCATAAAAACTCAACAATCTTGCGGGAAATGTTTATAATTTAAAACATTTTTAAAACATGTATAAAAAGCTCAGAAAAGAAAAAAATTCTTCGTTTATCAAAACATACCTCATATTTAAGGCGTTTTTCCAAATCTTCTACAGTCTTCAAACAAAATGCTGCAGTAACAAGTACAACACATACTCTGTACACATCGTCTTTATTCAGTCGAACTCCCTAATGAATACCAAGAAAAAAAAACCATTACTAATACTGTTTCTATTCATCAAAAATTAAGACATTAAATCAGATAAAAAGTTGAAAATTATGTTGACTAACTGACTGATTGGTTTCAACATAGAAGTTTACACAGATGTGCAGCAGTTCGAGGTGCTACACTCTTGATATGTAGCGCGCAAAGCAAGAGAAGAGATATTCACAAGAGGGGTAACAAACACAAGTGTGAGTGAGGGGAAAAGAACAGTAATATGGACGAACAATCGAGTTTTTTGGGATACGACAAAACATAATGAGTGGATACATCTATGATATCATTGACTACGACGATTTTGAGCCATATCATCATTTGTCTCCAGCCACCGGCTTTTACCATCCTGAGGACCCCAGCCACGAAGTCTACACCCACCTACGTGGCCAGCTTAAACTAACTGTTGTGGATTTCAGTGACTGAGGAAGTCATGTTTTTGTTTGACCACCACTAGCTAACTCTTTTCCAGCCTGACCCTTCCTATGTCAGCTAACATTGCTCGTCGAGGAAGGCGATGACTAGATTAGGTATGTGTAACACATGTCTTAACCATCTCAGTCGGTGTAACTTTACAACCTCGTCGATTGATTTCCCTCCTTACCTAGCACTCAACCGACGCCTCACCTCAATATTGCTCACTTTATTATACCACCTAACACTGGCGACAGAATGCAGGCACCTATGATCAAAGACAGCTAGCCTATTTGATGTCTGCCACTTTCAATGGCCAATTATGTTATTTAAGTAGAATTCAGAAGTCTTAAAAACCTAACGGGAAAGTATTTTTTTTAAAATAAAACTCACTGATGTAGATCCATTTATTACATAGAATTAAGCAAAACAACGAAAAAACGACATTCAATACACTTTTTTCAAAAAGTGGCCTGTTGTAACTTAGCAGTGTTGTGATGAGAATTTTCACCCTCCAAAAGGGAAGAATATTACTGAGTGAATACATGCATGGATACAGTTTCGGCAATATTTTGCACAGAATATTTAACACAACCTAAACTGATCATATAAATTAGTAGTATTTATTGATCACAGAAATCGCACATTACACATAACAAAAAAAACTATCTCAATTAGAGAACAATAATGATTGCTTTCATTTAGAAGGAGAACATATTAGTATTTTCGATAGTACATTCACTCTTTGTAACATCGTAGATCCATCAAACTGTTTCTGACATACACGTTTCTTCATTCATTGTAGTTTCTGTGTACATTTTTAGTTTTTACTAACCTTTGTGTGCTATATATGGTGTGGTAATTTGAACTGCTGCACACTCTTGTGCAAAATTCTACACGTTGCAAACTCAGTCAGTTAGTCAGAAACACTTCACGAACATATGTACGTATCTTGTATTTTTTTTCGAATAACCTTCACACCATAGAGAAGTTTCTGTACACACGGAAATGGAAAATTAAAAACACTACTATTACGCGAAGTAATTTTACTTGACAGAATAAAACATTTTCACATAAGATGGTCTACGAGCTCGCCCTGTAACCAGAAGGTCCTGGCTTCGAACCCTGGTGGGTGCATACTAATGAACAGTTCCAAACTAGAGTGAAACAGCTGTCCACTACTCCTAGGCTTTCCAGTGGTTCTCCAACTGATGTCAGCTCGTGGTGAAACTTTCCAACCAATAAAATGAGTGAATTGTCGTTTTCATAGGACATATGTATTTAAACAACTTACGTATTCTTGTGTTTTAAAAAAATTCTATCATGAAAACACGTTAAATAGTCAACGTAATAAACTTCTTAAAGCTCGTAAAACTAACCCAGAACACCAATGAATACAAGTAATCCAAACTTTCTAGAACAAAGTCATTATTCATCAATAGAAGTCTAAAATTCCACACAATTACTTCCACATTTAACGACAAATTCACTATCACATGCATGAAAATGTGACATTGTCCACTAGTTTTATCAGATGCAATTGATATAATCTGTTCTGGACATATACATTAGCTTGGCGCCGGAAAAAGCGAAAGGCCAGATAGAAAAAACTGCTCTGTAAAACGAAACTAGCGACTATATAAACTGAATAAAATTAATGAATCATGCAAAAATAACAATAACAGTTCTTGCCTGTATATCGTCCCGAAGTAAATTAGAAATCACCTGATTGCTTGATGAAGTAATCACCTCAGATTGTGTAGAAGTGTTTTTGCTTTGTGTTTTAATGTTTTCCAGCGCAGCACCGATTCCTGTTTGACCACGACCAAGGCCTAACATTCACATAATGAATGAGACAAGATAGAAGACATACCCAATGCTGATAAACTGCTTAAACCAAATGCAGCCATTTTTGCTGCTACATCCGGTGCAGATAGACCTGTACTAGTTCCATTGTTGCTGTTAATCGCTAAACCTGGAATCTGAGCTAAAAGCACACGAACAGTGTATTCGGATAGATATTGTCGTAAAAGTCGAACAAGACCTAACAGACCACGACCACGATTTAACTGCAGTGTTTGTTTTAATATTTGTTTATAAAATAGGAAGAGATCAGTAGCAGAATATAGAGTATTCGCACCAGGATCATTAGAATTCTGTTTATTTTGTACACAATCAAAAGGATTATCTGAAAATCGAAGAGATACAATTTTGATTTAAATACTTTACAAATTCAAAGGCATCCTTTCAACACGAACAACAACAAACAGAAAAGCGTGCTTCACGAACACCACCATATTCTGTTGTCTATTATATTTTTTGTATGTAAATTTTAACTATGCATGCACAGCCATCAACTCTATGAAAATGAAACACCAGATAGTTAAATATCTGCTACTAAATTAGTATGTATTAAGTGGAAGCAAATATCCGAACCTTGATCGAAATCTCCATCGTTAGTAGTTTACTCTCAAAAATGAGGAAGTCCTCCTAAGCCTACACAAACTGTCAGTCAAAAGCAGAAACTAAAGAAGCACTTACAGAAAGGTCAAGGATACATTAATATAAAATAGCATCGATACTGTACTAATTTTACTACGAACTGTCAACGAAACAGGACTTTAAAAGGAAATAGTGGAACAGAAGTATAGGAATTAGTTCAGCTTTATGGGGACTTATAAGATAATCGGCAGTTAGAATTAGAAAGCTAAAGCATTCAACCGACTAACTGATAATTTTAGGCTACCCTTTCACAAATATATATATATATATATATATATATATATATATATATATATATATATATGTTCAAATTACAGAGAGGAGAGTGATTTCCGATCAAAAATAAACACTGACTCAGGTGCGACAACATAGTGATGAATAAATCATGGGTTTATCTGAAATTACCATGTGATTTTCATAATAAAATATGTACTTAGTATTTGCATATGAAGATCTACATACTATATACGTGCAAAAGCGATAGTCAGGAGGCATCACAATAGATGGGCTTAGTTAGTCAGTATCTGAAAATTATAGCATGATTCGCTAGTCACCTGCAACACATGATTGGTTTTTTTTAGTTTTGGGATAGAGGAACTAGTATACCATATCTCCATTACCAGTTATTTAAATCGTAAAAAATAAAAGCATGCGAGGTAGGCATTACGCAAGGAACCAATGATAATAAACTTTAACATATGACGCGGTGTGATTGCACACCAACATAAAATGTACCATTTTTGAAAACATCTTCGAGATCCTGATTTTCTAAGCTTGATTTATTGACAGTGAAATCACCAACTAAACGATTAATCATTTGCTCTCGTAATGCTTTATCCACATGAACCAAATACAGATCAAAGTATTGGTCAAAACAGCTAAAAACCATAAGCACAAATAAAATGATAGTTAATCACGAAAAAAGTGGACATTTTCAATGCATGTTCACATTATTACTAATCATTAATCAAACGGAGTCAACCATTAGGACATAGTATTATCATAAAGCCATTAGTAAAACCATATATATATATATATATATATATATATATATATATATATATATATATATATATATATATATTAGTTACATGAAAGCAATTTTTTAAATTCTGTTATACATTTTTCATTATGATTAAATGCGCGGCTTACAGCATTCTACTAACAAACCTCTATGATTGATTTATACATAATATTTATTTGTAGAAGAGTAGAGCATAACTTCACACATTTATTCCTCTTTATGAATTTAGATAGAGCAAGAAGAACAGTTTTTGAAGAATAAAGTGGTACCATCATTTATTTCGTTGGCTTCACAGCAGCTGCTGATACAGCCCAAAGACATTATTAAGTTTATCTGCAGAAACAATTTTGACATACTAGCACAGAGTTAATTTTTAAACAAAAAACCAATGTCTGCATACAGAGCTGTTAATAACAATAATAATAATCACTTTATCCCAAACAATAATACTCATACGCAATCCAACCTTTTGGCGTTACGTAATCCGACGAAAGAGATGATGAAAACATCCAGTTACCAGGGCAAAGAAAGACTGATGAGCGCTTCTTTCTGCATACATAAATCGGGTTGTGGGCGCTGGATGAAGATTGCTTCAGCAGACTTAAGGAAAATTAAACTCTTTTGCTTATTGATAATTTTGAACGATCTTGCGACGTTTACCTTATGATCCACGTCAAGGAGATACCTGGCCATGACACTGTTGAAAGCATTAGTTTCCTTGAGACATACACTTTTTGGTACATGTTCAAAAAAGCAGAGGTATCCCTTCTTTCTGCTCTTCCAAAGTAACTGCTCCGGCAGATACATCTAAACTTGTATACACAATGGGATTGAACACAAAAAGGATATCTGTCGACTTTTGATTGCACCAAAGAGCATGTTGTCCGATAGACGGAAACCAACTTAGCTGCAGGACTCTATTGTGTATGAGTATTATTAGTACGGATAAAGTAATTATTATTAGCATTGTATGCATATGTTGATTGGTTGATTTTTTAGTTGGTTGGAGGATTTCATCATGAGCCGACATCGGTTGGAGAAACATTGGAAAACCTGGGGTTACTGAACAACTGTTTCGTCTTAGTTTGAAACTCTTCGTCAGTACGCACCCAGCGGGGTTCGAACTCGGGACCTTCTGGTTACAGGGCGAGTTTTTAGACCATTAAGCCAATAGGACCGGATCCAATGGCCCAGAAGGTCCTGGGTTCGAACCACGTGTGTGCGTACCGATGAAGAGTTCCAAACTAAGACGAAACAGCTGTTCAGTACTCCCAGGTTTTCCAATCGTTCTCCAACCGATGTCCGCCCATGATGAAATCCTCCAACTAATCAAACAAATCCTACACACCAATATTTAAAATGATTGATTTTTGTTTAAAAATGAACTCTGTGCTAGTATGTCAAAATTATTTCTGCAGATAAACTTAATAATGTCTTTGGGCTGCATCAGCAGCCGATGTGAAGCCAACGAAATAAATGATGGTACCATTTTATTCTTCAAAAACTGTTCTTCTTGCTTTATTGAAATAATGCATAACTGTTTGTCCATAAATTGGCGTTCACATTTCAATCAACGATAGATAACATACCCTATGACAGTAAATGAAGATCCACAATGAAACTGAAAGAAAACATAGTAAATTAGAGCAGTAAGGTAGCTCGATAAGGTCGAGTGGCTTTCTTGATATTGTAATAAAGAAGGAAATAGTGTTAATGTATTACTATGATGAAATGTTACGTATAAAACTCACTTTTTTCACAAGATTATTTTATTTCACCAATGGTTATTTTGGCACTGTAGAATTTGCAATAAATAATTAAATTAAACAGCTACTCGCTCGTGGAGAAAATTCTGTTTACTGGTAGGTGTAACAGAAAATCGATAAGGCAAACAGCAAACTTTAAATCATACAAGATTTATCAATTCAATATCAAGAAAATTACCTAGAAATAATTCCATCAAATATTTGCATTTTCCAAGAATTAGTAGAATCATCTGTGACCGGCAAGTCGGTTTTGTCTTCTCTTGACTCTTTGGATTGCACCTCGCCTGAACCATCGTCATTATCACCAACACCACCATCATCATCATCGTCATCATCAAAAGGATTAAGTGAACGTTCAACATTCTTAGAATTTACGATTTTACTTTTTAAAGCTTCAATTGCATCAGATGTATACGTTTTGTTTAAACTGGTTTCAAAAGATAAAGTGCGTTGCAATGCAAAGACAATTAAATTATGGGTAAGTTCCGACTGACGACGCTTCATCACGGTTTCCAAACCAGTCCGTGTAATTTGGCAGAACTCTAGAACAAATCTAATCAGTTCCGACAAAAACAAAACAAAAGCTTGTGAATTAATTTTGTTGCATATAAACTGAATGAAAAAATGATTAAAAAAACAATAAAACTATGTACAGTAAGGTTCAATGGTATCCCAAAAACAGAAATATTAATAACACCAATTCATCGATAATCAGATAATAGAACGACACGTCTTTTATTAACGTAGGCCTTTGCAGAAGTTGTCATACTCTTGCATACCACACAAACAAAAATAGTGGAAAATGAAATAGGGAAATATAATGAGTTTCTAGACTCGGTTAGGATGAAATTCATTAAAACATCTATGACGAGGCTAAAGAAAAATGAAAAATATTGATTGGACAGACATCACTGGTTGTCGTTACTTCAGATGACACAACTCCATAAACCGTTACACGGCCACTTGAGTTCGATCGCTCAGTGTGTTGATCAGTGCGAGATAAACACGTTGTCGTCGCTGTGTGCAGCCAGACATTTGTACGGCACACAGATACACACACACGGTTGACAAAGTGAAATTCCGTCTTCGGAAATTGCTTCACTTATCGATCGGTGCTTACAACTCGTTTCCCTAATGAATCTAAGTAGCTTTATCTACCTGGTTTCACCTATGACCGATGTTGTGTCCATCTCTTTGGATTTCGTCGGACACTATTGTTCACGGTCGTTATGGAAACCAAGTCCTTTCTCATTCGAGCAACTTTTTCCACTAGTCATATTCCCATCCCACCAAAATCAATCAATACTCTCGTGTCTGTCGATTTGAATAAAGCAGTAGAAATATTTTGTATTTACTTACCTCTGTTTTCAGGTTACGAAAAACATCCACCTAAATTTCTACAGCTGACTGGATACTATAACGATTTTCCTGGAGACTAGCTTTTGCATCAATATAAGATACGGGCTGAGTTATTTATTCTTCAGATGAAAACTTCATCAAGAAGTTGGTGGTGTAGAAGTTCCTCAGCTAATTGTTTTCTGTCCTTTCAGGTGTAGCTGAATGCATGCGTGGACTAATTCGTAAACACAGTTCAAGTATGTGCTTCACAGAAGGAGTGGCAGTTTTCTACCGATCCTTATCAATAGTTTACGGCTACGTGATTTGTTTGAGTCGATTGTTGATTTGATGACGGTTACCGGGCTAAGTGATTTGTCTGCTTGTGGCTGAATTTTGTGCTGACGGGGAATAGGAAATGTATTTCTAAAGTCTTTGACATTCAGATAGAGAAACTGGAGCTCTACACACAAGAGAAAAGTATTTAAGCACTTCTACTATCATGGTAACAACCTTGTTATTTTCTGCTAAATTGATTTTTTTGTAATTTCAACTCTTTATAGGAGATGTACTGCTGATTGATAACTGAATGTGACTTCAGAGTAGGAGTTTTCCCAACTATTCACGCACGTTTTCTAGTATCTTTCAATCTACCATAGTTTTACCCTCTTACTTACTTGTCAGATTCTAATAATCTGAATTAAAATTCTGTTAATTCTCTCAACCGTTTCGTTGTTTCTTAATCTTTTGCGTCTACTTATTTACTAAACCACTTCACTTTGGACCTAGTAGCAGTCCATATACTGATAAATTCAATATCCTTATAATTACCTCCTCGTGCGTCGGTGGCGCAGAGGTAGAATGTTCGCCGGCCACGCCTCACGTGGTCCAGGGTTCGATCCCCAGCCGACACATTCCCAAACCTCGTTTAGCTGGTAATAACCCAGGCGAAGAGGGAAGTTTGAGCGTTAGACTGGAAATCCCACCCTGTAAAAAATGAGGCCGCTGCTATGGAAACTTCAAATCTCAAGAAGCTTGAAGCCTTATGTTGCACTGGGAACGCAAAGGAATAAAATAGCAATAATAATAAATAATAATTACCTCCACTCCACTACGTAATTATGTAACCCCTTGCTTGTTTTAGAAACTGTTTGCACGTGACTTCCTCAATCCTAAACTACTACTGAGGCTAGCATGAACGAGTCTCTGTCTGGATTCAACATAGAACTTGGCACCGAAGTGCACCAGTTCGAGTTGCCACGTTCCAAATAGCACACAGAGGTAGACAAGAAGATGAGTGAAGAGAATTAATAGAGTTTGACAAGTATAAGAGTGAAACAGAATGGGTAATGGTAGAAAGGAATATGAAAGATTACAGAGACTGAATACATCTGCGCTGGCCATTGACAACGATTTTGAGCCATGTCACCTATTGTCTCCAGCCATTGATTCCTAGAGTCCCGAGGGCCCCAACCCGGAAGTCTGCATCTCCCTACCTACCTGACTCAGTTTAACTGTCAAGGATTTCATGGATTGATGCCACGTTTTTGTTTGGCCACCACTTACTCTTTTCCAACCTGCACCTATATCAGCTAGTAATGCCCGTCGGGGGAGGCGATGGTTAGACATGCGCAGCACGTGACCTAGCCATCTCAATCTATGTAACTTTATAGCCTCGTCGATTGATTTTCCCTGTTTGCCCAACACTCTACGCCTAACGTCAACATTACTTACCTTGTTAAACCACCTAACGTGAGACAGAGATCGCAGACACCTATGATCGAAAGCAGTCAACCTTTTCATGTCTTCAACGCGTATTGGCCATGATTCAGAGCCATAGAGAAGGACGGAGCGAACTGATGGGCAGTACACACGTCCCTTGGTTGATAGCCGGATGTCACGCCTACGCCAGAGATGGTGTAAGTCAGCAAAAGCAGCTCGAGCTTTTTGGACCCGTGCTGATATCTCGTCGCAAATCAGTCAGTTGGTGCTGATACCACTTCCCAAATAGGTGAAGTGGTCAAATTGTTCTATCATTTCACTCCCTATCACTAAGCTAGGAGTTGACGCAGTCCAGTCCTGTAGCAGCATCTTACATTTTGCAGGGGCGAATCGCATGCCAAACATACGAAGATTGCTGCTCAAGGTGTTCAGAAGACTGCATTTTGTCGGCGTCTTCCCTTAACAGGACTATGTCATCTGCATATTCTAAGTCCATAAGACTATTCCCTGGTAACAAGTCGATTCCTAAGTCGTTACGTTCAGTTAAGGATACTTCCATCAGCGTATCTATGATGAAGTTAAACAGAAATGGGGAGAGTGGACATCCCTGTCGGACACCACTGGTTGTTACCAATTCAGATGACAATTCTCCATAAGCCCTTACACGGCTACATGAGTTTGAATAGAGTGCCTTGATTAGTGCAATGTATTTTCTTGGCACTCCCTTCACAGTCAGACATTGCCATAGTACCTTTCGATCCACGGAGTCAAAGGCCGCCTTCAAGTCAAGAAATATGGCAATTGTTGGACGCCGAAAAGTGTGTCTATGTTCTAGAATCTGTCGAAGAGTGAAGATATGATCTAAGCACCCTCTACCTGGTCTAAAGCCTGCTTGATTTTCCCTCGTCTGTTCCTCTCGAGTTCTGCTTAGTCTGTGCATGATTACTGAGCCTAGGATTTTAGAGACTATGTTCGTTAGGCTGATCCCCCTATGATTATCACACGAGGACTTGTTTTCCTTCCCTTCGCCTAACTTTCTTTTGTTTGCAATAACGCAATCGGTATCCATCAACTTACAATTCACTTTAGAATAGAAGAAAGAAAGTACTTAGTACTGGCTTCCAGTGGAATTAATCGTATGAAATTCCCGATTATTATAATATGTATACATAGGATTTAATTTCACTCAAAGAAGCATCAGTTATTTTTTATGTTAAATTTAACGGTATTCAAATTTAACATAAATGTACCCTGATGATAATTTATAAAGCATCTTTGAATTATCTCCGTGAGGAAGAGGAACACTAAATTGGTCTTTTAAAATAACACTACTGCAACGCTTACCTTTCAGTCACCAACCAAGAAGGAGGAAACACTGAAGTAAATAAGCGTTCCAAAGGGACCAAATTTGTCCGTAACCAGTTATATCTTTGATCAATCTTGTCCAACCAAGCAGCAGTTTGAGTTGGATCAAACAACTCCTTGTATTCAGTTAAATGATGGCAGATGAACCAGTCCAAGATATTCGAACTGACATGCAGATTCTTAGGGAGGAGATCAACAAGTTCGCAAATAGAGAAAATCAATTCCTTGTTGTCCGTAACAGTTTTAGTTGCCTGGTATTTTAGTCAAATGCAGAAGATTGAACAACAATCCTTAATATTATTGACTACATACAAAAGAACAGAATGAAAATCGTAGACATTAACAGGCATATAGCTGACACAAACACACACACACACATTTGATAAGGATGTTCATGATATGGTCTGTTGGGAAAGCATTAGTACTTTGAAAACAGGAGTATAAACACAGCTTCCATTTTTCAAACCGATGGGAACTTTTCAGTTTATCTTCGAAAATTCAGCCTAAGATTGACTTTAGTCGTAATAAAACTATAAAATTAAAGGTACAACAAGTAAACTTCTCAAATTCTCCGGAAAGCAGCATATGGAATAATTTTAGTTCGAAGTGATAAGATTCATCCAGACCAAAAGTGAAGTAAGAAACATGTGAATTTCGAGTCTATTTCAAGAGAAAATATATGGGAAAATTTCGCTACTCTAAGAGTTGATCATGAAATTAAATTAAAAAGCTACAGCAACTTTTAAATACGTCGATGGAACACAATCGACACTTAACAGAGATTCATATATCATGATGTATTATAACAGGTTTTAGCTGATAAAAATCAGATACATACTTCGCATCCGTATCGAGATTTTTTCACACACACCATGACTACAAGATATGAGAAGTGATCGATATCCCCAAAACAATTCACTCCTTAAAATGAAGTGTGATTCCAATACAAATCGGATCTGAAGAAAATATTTTGTACATTACAGGTATGAATAGCATTGGAAGCAATCCTGTCATAATTCAGCGTTTAAAAACGAAAATGTTCATCTTCTTTTTGATGACCGTACATTCAATGGAATTCCTACAAGTGTATAACTCATCCTGAAAGTTTGCTCTGATTTTATAGTAAACTTATAACTGTATATTTTGATTTACTTTTCTGAATACCAACCAGAGACTTTTTTCTATCACAGAAATACTCAAGGAAAAATAGTACCATTGTGGTGTGTACTACTGATAAGATTTATCAGTAGTCTCTAGAAAGATGTTCATCGGCATAAAAACATCAAATAGGAGGGAGACATATTTGATGTCAGAAAAAGTAATTGATACAGCGATACGGAATAACATGGGAGGTGTGAAAGGAACACAAAGAAACACAATATGAAGACAAGAAGTACCACAACACGGAAGATCTGTGCAAAAGGAGCTTTAAAGATAAGGTGTACATAATTTCGCTATATGGAGGTGCCAAATTGCAAATAATCATTCTTTTACCAATTCCTTTACCGTTACACCATCAGCTAGTAAACTAGGATTCTTAAGAACGATGTAAAAACACAAATTCCAGTATTTTCAGCAGAACTAAGAAAGTATAGCATTCAACACAAATAAATGTAATATAAAATGAGCACGTCTAATATCACGATAAGAACGTCTCTTAATAAACAATGAAAAAGCAGTCAAATAATATATAATGTGAAGGAACTGAGACAGACCTAAATAACCAAACCACGCATCTGTGTAAGTTTAACTTACTAAGTGGTGTGGTAAGGCTAACGCAATCTCGACTAGTTTTACTAGCCGGTCCTAGGCCCTAAAACTTACTTACTTTACTTCGGCTATCTCCTACGGGAGGATGAACCGGCTTCATGAACCATGAAGTTTCATGGGAATTGGGTACGAGTGATGTCCCCAGCATCGCTCGGCCCTAAAAGGAGAAAGACTGGGCGTGGGGCAAACTGTCTATCACGACTGAAAGTTTAACTAACAGAAAACATAAACTTGTTCTCCTATGCAATGAGAATCCATCTTCACTAGGGTCGTGACAGTAAGAGTTAACTCAAAAGGCATGAAAGTTAGATTCACACAATGCTACGCATTTACAAACAACAAAGAAGCGAAGTTAAAGAAGATTGACACAAAACTGGAAGCAATAATGAACAAAACCACTGTCAGATGGTGGCATCAAATTTTTAATGAGTGATATGAAGGGAAATCAAACTGCAAGCAGACGACGCAGGAAGAAAACTGATCGTAGGTCAAGAGGTGCTCAGTGAACAGAGTGGGGACAGAAAACGCTTTGCAGACTTCTTTGTTTAATTATTTGGTGACTGGAGGCAGCATGTACAAGCAGAAGGGTATTCACAAGTTGAAGTGGGTGACACCAGATAGGCATACTAAAAATCAGACAGACTTCATCTCAGTATTAGGAAAGTACAGACGCAGCCTACTGAATACAAGATCGAGAACAGGAACATATGTAGACTCATTATTATATGTGTAAAACTTGGGCGCTGCAGCGGTTCGCAATATCATATTTATTTGTTTAATGTATAGGGTAAGGAATGAATGGATTATATTGATAAATAACAATACTAATACTCTAAAACAATTGATAATTAAACTTTATTATCAAGTGTATAACGAATACGGATAACTGGGTATAACTCAAAACAACTGAATATGACAGCGGCTTTCTCACCGCAAGTAACAGCTTTAGTTTCTTCATCAAGCGATCAGCTAGAACTGTATGAATAGTGTCCAGCTCTTTGGATAATCCCGCAACAGATGGAACTGAACCATAGGCTGTGAGCATAGGTTGCAATAAACGTTGAACTTGGGCCAGTAAATTAGACACTTCCGCTAAGAAAGATGGTGAAATTTTCTGAGATTTCATTTGATCAGGTGAACAGTTTTCATTCCTGAAAGCTTTATGTCAAAAAAAAGGATTACTCAAATTAATATAAAGCCTTTTGACTAAGTTTCTATAAAAAAGTATGAAATTTTAGATAAAGATAAATTTATGAAAACAAAACACGTAGATCAGCGAAGAGTCTCTTTTCGGCGAATTCATTTTCTTAGCTGTACAATCGCAAATATATATGCATTGTTTTGTATGTATGTGTACATTAAGTTTGTCAAACAAAATTACAATTGGTTAAGGTTACTTTTAACTAAACAAGTGAAGGTTGGTAATACAGGTCAAAAAATTAAGTGTTAATGAAACTAGGGTAGTAACAAAGGTGATGAGTTGTCACAAACAGTTGTTAAAAGAAGTCATGTAATAATAATATGAATAGTTTGATGAGTGAGTTTTACTCAAGATGCACATAGAAACAAAGTAGATAATACGAAGCTATGTAAGAGATCTAAGTGAATACAAGAATTATAAGCAATTAAGGAACAGGCAAAAAAAACGAAATCAAGTCATCAAAATAAAATGAAAGAAACAAGACGGAACAGAGTGAGAAGCAGCTCACAGATGTCTTGAAGAGAATGAAGGCCAGTCAACTAATCAGTGGGGATATCTACGATCAGATCCGGCCAACAGGTTCAATAATACCAAGACTTTATGGTCTACCAAAGGTACACAAGGTTGGTCTCCCACTTCGTCCAATTCTGGATATGTCAGGTTCCCCTTACCACTCTATTGCACAATGGCTAGCAGATATTCTGGAACCTGTAAGGAAGCAATTATGTACGTACTCGCTCCGTGACACCTTCCAGTTCATCGAGTGCATACAAGACACGAATGTATCTAACAAAATTATGCTGTCCTTCGACATCGAGTCACTTTTCACCAATGTCCCACTCACAGAAACGGTCTGCTTCATATGCAGATATATAGATGACAACCACCTCGATATTGGAATACCGACAACATACTTGAAAGAACTATTATTGAGATGCACTCTGAACGTCCAGTTCACATTCAACGACACCATCTACAGACAAAAGGATGGTATTGCAATGGGATCTCCGTTGGGTCCACTACTATCAGATTGCTTCGTGGCAAGCCTCGAGAGAGGTTCACTAAAGCCAAGCATCGACAATTTGCGACTGTATAAAAGATACGTGGATGACATTTTCATTATTTGTGACAACAACAACGACCCCAATCTGCTGCTGAAGACATTTAACAATTGCCATCCAGCAATAAAATTCACTCTTGAAATGGAAAACGAGTCAAAAATTCCGTTTCTTGATGTGGAACTGACAAGAAGAGCTGATGGGAGCCTAAGAAGATCAATCCATAGAAAACCTACGTGGAATGGTCAACTAACAAGCTTCTATAGCTGGGTGCCCATTCAACAAAAGCGAAACTTAATTAAATCACTTGCTACCCGCATCCGACGCATCTGTAGTCCCGACGTTCTGGAAACAGAATTAGATATTCTGAGAGAAATATTCATCCAAAATGGATACCCAATAAGATTTATCGACAAAAATATGAAACCAATAATTCGGAAAAACGAAACTTTAACTGCGCCTAAAAAGAAAATCTACATGAATTTGGATTTCAAGGGAGATTTAGCAAGCGATATTCTCAAGAGAAGGATCACATCATCTCTGAGAAGAACGTTCTTTGCAGCAACGCTACGAATAGTGTTCTCCAGTCGCCCACTGATCTGCAGAAGCCTCAAGGACAAGATCCCGCATCTGGCCACTTCTATGTGCATATACCAGTTCACCTGCTGCTGTGGAGCCATGTACATCCTGTCCAAGAGAATTCAAGAACATTATCCAGCATGGTTGCGAAAAGGCAATACTGGTGCAATAAGGAGTGCGATAATTGAACACCTGGTCAACACTGATCATTGCATTTCAACGAACGCCTCCTTCAAAGTAATCTACAGAGTCAAGAATAACATATCAAAGGCAATACGGTTTCGTCTCCTTTGCATCGCTGAAGCTCTGGCCATTCACATGGAAAAACCGGAGCTGTGCATACAAAAGAAGATTACTCAACCACTTCTACTCTCATGGTAACAATGTTTTGATTTGTTTTGAGCTTTTATTTTATTTTGATGACTTAATTTTGTTTTTTTGCCTGTTCCTTAATTGCTTATAATTCTTGTATTCACTTAAATCTCTTACATAGTTTCGTATTATCTACTTTGTTTCTATGTGCATCCTGAGTAAAACTCACTCATCAAACTATTCATATTATTTCAGGATTTTATCATGAGCTGACATTAGTTAGAGAACCATTGGAAAACCTGGGAGTACTGGACAGCTGTTTCGTCCTAGTTTGGGACTCTTCATCAGTGCGCACCCACCGGGATTCGAACCCAGGACCTTCCGGTTACCGTGGGTCTGCACAGACTGAGAAATCCACGATTTGTGACACACCTCTCGGAATACCGAAACGTAATATGTCAGTCAAAATGGGATTAGTCCTTACAAACCTGAGGTAACTAAATTACGACAACATTGGTATATGAAATCTCTGACTGTTGGCTTAGGTTGTAAAAGATGGTTGGAGCTGTCTTGTTAAAATCTTTGATATGCTAAGCACCAATGTGTTTGGATGCTATCAATAGAAGCATAAAACCCCTGTCGATTATTTTAGCAACTTTTAAATACTCACTAGTATTTGTACATGGTTTTCTCTTCTATCATAAAACTTCTTGCTTATTTTAATAATACTCTATTTTGGTTTACCTTCTTTTTTCTGTATAGATCCAGCTTCTCTACGAAAAATAAACAAAGGTTTTCAGAAATTCCGGCTATATAATGTCTACGGTGAATTGTCATTTTTGTATTTATAACAGAACCTCACACACTACAAGATTTGTTCGACTGACGTTTCCAGTGAATATATTTATAATTTATTCATAATTTAACACACTTCACCAATCCGTCTATTTGTTGTCTATTCGTGAATTGATAATTTCGATCACTGACAGATTTTGTTGAAAAACCGATTGATTATTTTAATTACTGTTGGATTTAGCTCTCCATTCCCATGTGTCACCTGCATATTACTTTGATGATATTAGATGGTTTGAGGAAATCGGCAGGAAGCCTTTGACCTAGGTTTCGTGCTAGCTGGCACTCGTCAGCAACGCGATGTGGCCACCATTCTAGGTAACTCGCCATCACGGTGCAAATTGATTTGATGATATTAGACGGTTGGAGGCAATCGGCAGGAAGCCCAGGACCAGAACCAGGTATGGCGGCCACATTGCAAACCTGGCTGATAGAATTCAGTCTGCACCGAAGAAAGGACTAGATACATCGCACTAATTACTAGTGTCCAATCAAAGCATATTACTTTGCTGATTGTCAAGTGTTGTTAAAATTTTCTCGTAAGAAATATTGTTGATCACAACTTTCTTTCAATTCTGGTCGTAATTTACCTAAAGTACTGTCTAAGCAATAAACTTGCTAACCTTAGCGTCGGACTTCTGAAATTAATCACATATTCCTTTTAGTAATGTGGTTATCACCACCAATAAGTTAACGCACACACAGACAAACAAATACAGATCGTACTCAAACAAAATCTATTTGATAAGATTACCAGGACCAACTTCAGAAAATGGATTCTGAGAATTGATATGAGCGTCACCAATTTTTGCGGGAAGTGTTGAATCATTCACTGTGCTTTGTATACCAAGTAGTTCGTTGAGACGGTCGATAGCGTTGACGATAAGTATCAAATTATTTAGAGCAGTTATTGAAACGGTTAAGTTACGTTTGGCTTGGTCGAACTGTTGTATATCTCTAGTTATCTCTTGTACCATATCCTCTGATCTTGTGGCTCGGTCTTGGACATCCTGTATTCTGTCAAATGAATAGCAAAACTAACATTTTTCAGATTTAAACAGAAACAATAATCAATGAAAAGGCAAAATTAATGAGAAACATAAAAACTAATAACAGGAAAAGATGATGATCATACTTTAAGTGAGCAAGGCAAGGTAATATTGATTCATTTTAATCCTAGCCAGTTTTATATCTGATGCAATATATCAAGATTTATACTAAGGAGATTTCACTCAGACGTTCTGAAAAGTTGTGCCAAGTTATAATTATATTAGTTCAGTTAACACAAAATTACTATCTTTATTGGATTTACTAAAACAGCAGGCTATCTCCTCTCGAATCCCGCCAACTAAAAGGAAAAGAAATTACTCCCGGAACCAGAGAGCCAACTATACACGTTTCAGGAGGATAGATTCCATTCTAATGTATGCATACTAATTGGCCTCAGTGAATATCCAATTAAATGATAGTAAACAGTAAAGAACAGAGTTTCACGATAGCAAAATGTATTCTTAGGTAACCGACACGATCTTGCTTTTAAGTATACTTAGTAAAATCTTTTAACCAGTAGTATAACTACTGAAAAGCGTGATAAGACTAAGGCTGAAAAGAAACTAAACGGAAGAAAACTTTAAATATTAAGCAAAAATGAGGTGTTTAAAGAATTTAAATACATCATAAATTTGGGTCCTACACAAACTATAGATTTTTTGATGTCTCAATGATATTTTTTGTCTGAATGACGCTGCGGCTATCGAAAGCTACCAGATATGAAGTATGTCTAGGTAACTGGATTTCAGTTGTAAGTTGAAAAGATGACAGAATATGAGTTAGAACAGTTAGACACTTTACGCAACACAAAGGAAAACACCCAGGAATGTGCGATTCTGGCACTACAACTTCTTAACTAAGATGCACTACAAAACCGTTCATTAAAAGAAGTAAATAAACACACCTTGAAAATAGGACTTTTAACATATTTCTCGCCTCCTGAACTATTTCGTGACCCTTATCCTCTGTTTGCCAACGGTCACGTAATATGTCTCTTGTTTCACTGTCTAATTCACGAATTTTCTTCTCTGCTTCTAATATTACCTCATCTATATTTGCCAGTGATTGTTCACTGGGAAATCTCTGAAAAATTAATTATAATAGGGAAAAAATCGAAAAACTAACCTCATTAATGTATGTAATTACATTAAAATTTGGATCATCTAGACTGTCTGACTTTAAACTGAGCTTAGCTAGTGCTTCTTCAACTTCTTTAACATAAGTGCTTGGAAATTGAAAATCACTATCTTGATTCAACTTGTGATGAACATCCATTCTTCAATCTAGAGATATACAAAATTCATATGTGAAGTTCAATAAGAAGGTATATTACACAACAACACAGAACTTTGTACGTGTTAACTGAATAACAGAAGAAGGGAATATGTCATTGTTTGCCACCTATAATCGCAGGTAAAATGCTAGTTAACTGACTGACTGGTTTCAACATACAACTTTGCATCGAGTCATCATACCCCAGGTAGCACACAAAGCAAGAGAAGAAAGTAAAGAGAAATGCAAAACAGAGACAGTAAACGGATATATGAGACAAAAGGAATTCGCCGAAAAGAGACTCTTCGCTGAACTACTTGTCTTCTGTCTACAAAAGGAATAGTAATATCGAGAAACGATATAGTTTTATTCACTATTATAAGTCAAAAGAAGTGAATGCAACTGCATCAGCCACTGACAACGATATTGAGCCATATCATCATTTGTCTCCAGCCATTGGTGTTTACCGTCCCGAGGAGCCTAACCAGGAAGTCTGCACCTCCCGACGTCGCCAGCTTAAACTAACTGTTGTGGATTTCAGTGACTGAGGAAGTCATGTTTTGTTTGACCACCACTAGCTAACTCTTTTCCAGCCTGACCCTTCCTATGTCAGCTAACATTGCTCGTCGAGGAAGGCGATGACTAGATTAGGCATACGCAACACATGTCCTCACCATCTCAATCGATGCAGCTACTTCACAACCTCGTCGATTGATTTCCCTCCTTACCTAGCACTCAACCGACGCCTCACCTCAATATTGCTCACTTTATTATACCACCTAACACTGGTGATAGAATGCAAGCGCCTATGATCAAAGACGGTTAGACGTTTCATGTCTTCCACTCTCAATGGCTTATCTAACAGCCATAAAGGAGGTCGGGGTGGACTGCCAAGCAGTGCCCACGCCTTTTGCTCAGCAGCCGGACATCACGTCTACGCCAGAAAGGGCGTAGATTGGCGTATGCCAAAATAGAATTCTGTATCCATGCTGAGATTTCGTCAGCGATCAACCCGCTGGATCTGATACAACTTCCCAAATAGGTGTACGCTCTATCACTTCATTCGCTATTTCTAAGCTAGTTGTGGGTAATGTAGTTCAGTCCTGTATCATCAACTCACATTTGATAAAGAGAGCAAATCCCTTGCCAAACATTCGCAGATTGCAGCTCAAGGTGTTCAGAAGACTCTGTATTTTGTCAGCGTCTTCACCTACAAGGACTATATCACCTGCATATTCTAAGTCAACGAGATTATTCCGTGGTGACAAGTCAATCCCTGAGTCGCTGAAGTCGCTTAAGATCAAGTCCATTAGAACATCTGTGATGAAACTGAATAGAAATGGGGATAGTGGGCATCCTTGACGGACATCACTGGTTATCACCAGTTCAGATGACAACTATTTGTAAGCTTTCACCTGGTTGACTGCATGAGTTCGAGTATAGTGCTAATTAAAATCCATTTGCAGCTATAGCTCCCCTAATCCTAAGTTAACGCTCCTAATAGTTTTACTTCATTAACTATTCACGATAGGTTCATATTTACTAAATTATGTCTGTATATACAACGAATGATGACTGTGAATAACAGTATGTTAAAACGAGTTATTTGCGAACGCCATTCATTTGAATAATCTAATAATATAACCCCTATGTTTACATATACATACAAAGAAGCAGTATGGTAGTTCTTAAAACGCTTTTTAAACAACGACATAAAAATTAATAATACGGTTCTACACTCTTATCGGATTTCGACCTAGATGAAAAGTTTGTCACCTAATGCACTTAAACACCAATCTTATGAATTTCTTCGAGAGTTCATAAGGAATGTGCAGACTTTACGCCCGCTATTTCAAGCGTTAAGGCGATTGAGTAATATCATTGCCCATCACATAACAGATGTAGCTGAATAACTGGTGTACAGACGAGTGACTTCTGAGTTACACTCGTGGCTGAAAAGCAATGATTGGTAAATCGTCAGATAAAATGTGTGATAATAGTAAGTTTTTTACAGGTTACCATCATTCTAATTTATGCTACCGTCTGGAAAATGGTTGTTTTTAAAGGTGGGAATTTTACCGTTTCGTTCTACGGACTCTTAAACACACATTTGACGGGATCGTCAACAAACTGACAAGGGTTCTGAGTAAGTCAACGGTGTTAGGGGAGTTCCATTAAGTCTGTCTGTCGGTTTTCGACGCAGAACTTTGCACCGATGAGCGGCAGTTCAAGTCGCCACATCACATTAAAGTAAAGCAACTGGTCTTTAAAATGTTTTGATTATTCATCCAGATAAAAGTGGAGTAGCATCTGTTTTTCTCCGCCTTTTGAAGCATGACTTATTGAGAAACCTTTGTAGACCATAAATTAAACAATCTTAACCAGAATAATAAATGGAGATGATCACAAGTCAGCAACCGAATACACGATTACGAACCCGGCTGTAATATCTTTTTGTTGTTTGTTGCACGTGGTAATCCAGACCTTGATAAACCAAGCAAGATTAAAATCTGTCACCTACTGATTCGGAGCCTGCTTAAACAACTGGGTTACCTAGATTTCCATTTGGTATAATGCACAAACTCTTCTACACTTCGTATTGTTTTAGTCATCTGTGTTTTTAGCTTCGCTACATGAACCCGTACGTTTAAGTTTGCTGTAATGAAGAGCATTTCTCAACAGAAATGAAGAAAAAGCATCTTAGAGATTTGGATACTGCTTTAGATGGAACAACACGGCGCCACACGACGTACTGTCAAATACCATTTTACGTGGAGATACTATACGAAGAGTAGATATTTTTGCAATTTAAATATGCTGAATTCTGTACTATATGTCAACATACTGTCTACAACAAAATGGATAATAGTACAGCTATTGATTATCTTTTTTCCACTATAATGAACAATCGATGATGACTATACTAAAGGATGAATTTGCCTTGAGTATTAATAAAATTGACTTTCCAAGAAACACGAAATTTACAATAACTAGTTGTAAGTAATAATTAGCATTCTGCTTTTTTTAAAACATTTTAGGGATAGCTTCAAAAATTGTCATACCTCAATGTTAATGAGATATGATATAGTGGAATAAAACATTCAATTTTTTAAAGATGATCATACATCTTGTGCGCTTGGATACTATGTTATAGAAATAAAATAATAGCTATCCATCTGCGAGAGTTAGGAAGCCTTATTTAATACTTACACTTTCTTACAAGATTCGGATTCCAAAGTCCTTACAAAAAAATATTACCTTCATGACCAAAATCTTTGATGTCATAAGTTACTCTGAAAATTCTGTTATAATTTAAATTCAACACCAACCGCAACGCACATGGCTTGAAAATCACCATACTGGTGAATTTTCTATAAAGATGAGTTTTTTTCCTTCACGTGGAACATAGGGCCTCAAGCTAGTGGCTTGAAGTTTCTGTAGCAGTGTTTATTATACATGATGGGGTTGCAAGCCCAACCTTTCCTCCTTACCAGCATTATTTCTGTCTTAGCGAGGTAAAGGAGTGCGTTGGCCGAGGATCGAACCCCGGACTATGTGCATGGTCGGCGAGGCTGAGAGTTAATTAATTATTTAATCATAATTAGCCACTATAGGCACCCAACCTTTAAATTGTAGGTTCAAGGCCTAGACCTCGTATCAGTGCAGAAATATGCAAACGAAAAGCTAGACGCGTCTTAAAGCCTACTCATCAAACATTAAAACAACTGACAGAATACTCCATTATGGATAAGATTTTATTTTGATAAATCACACACAGTGTTGTACAGTTATATTAACTGATGACGTTTCGAGCACAAGCTATTGCTCATAATCATATCAAGTAACTCACACAACTTTTTTTTTCATTACGTCATCAGTTAATATAACTGTACAACACTGTGTGATTTATCAAAATAAAATCTTATCCATAATGGAGTATTCTGTCAGTTGTTTTAATGGTTGATAAGTAGGCTTTAAGACGCGTTTAGCTTTTCGTTTGCATATTTCTGCACTGATACGAGGTCTAGGCCTTGAACCTACAATTTAAAGGTTGGGTGCCTAAAGTGGCTAATAAAATCTTATTCATAATGGAGTTATACTCTACCGCAGTGCCCAAGTTTTATGCTTATATCAACTGACTGAATAGTACATAAAAATTTATGGCAGGTTACTGGATTCTTACGCCTAAATTAAAATATCAGAACACTTATCTACCCTTCCTAGTTGCAGTCCATCGATAGTGATTAGAAACTGTCAATAAAGTGACCCGAAACGGTTCAAAATGGAACGGACGTGTTTACAAGTTAAATCTGCACAAGATTCTAAAAGTCTTTGCCAGTCGTCTAATTGTTGCTTCATCCGTAAACTTTTGCAAGCATCCTGCGTTGTTAAGATAGCAATAGCCAGTTTAAACTAAGCAAACTAGTAAGACAGGCGGGACTTATCGACAAACTGAAAGCCAGTATGGAAAAATAAGACTGCCACAGTATGATAATCACTATTGGAGTAAGATATAAATCAGATACATAACTGCCTCGTTTATACCTTAAAGAAAAACTGGTGAAGAAATAAGATGAAAAATAACCAAGATTTATACACTGTCACTTTAAAATTGACGAAGCATCCTCAAAAAAACGACAATTCTGCTGCTCCGTACTGTAATTAATATGAGTAAGTATACACCGCCTACGTTTCTCTCACCAAAAATGCGTACTCCATGTAGAAACACAATTTCTAATAACGTATGACGACGTGAAAGAGTGAGATCACTTTTAATCCGAACACTCAAAAGTCACGAAAATGACCAAGACTATATCTTACAGATCTCATTACTAAAATTTATGAAATTTTGAACATCCAGTGTAAACTAAACAAGCTAGATGCCTATATAAATATTCTTTTAAAATACCACTCAGTATGACAAATTAAACTCAATACGTAATCTAAATATTTGAGGAATTCAACATTAAATGTGGACTATTTGTGTGTAGAAATTTTGATCGTATGGAGGAATAACACAATTTTCAAGCATATCTGAAGACAAACCACCAAATTTCCTTCTAAATAGGAGTTACAGTACAGTGACTGAGGTTCCCAAAATAGCGTAAACACCGATGGGGATAGATTTACACAGAATAGAATTAAATTTTTAGCTGTTATAAATATTTGTTTTTGAAGATACAAAATCCGCGTCCGAAAGTGATCATATGAGAATCAAAGTAAGCAAGTGATCTCTTAACGCCCAATGAACAAGTTAGAGAAAAAAGCGTGAATAACACTACAATCAGGAGTAAAACATACTTATTGAAATGTTATATTAAACATGATATCTGATATGTTTTAGGTTGTTTTGGAAAGATTAAATAAAGGCGTAGGCTAAAGAGAAGCCGGGACTATGCTGACCCAATAAGGGAGATATTAGGGTCGGTTTGAGTTAGATTAGGGCTAATTTATGGGTGGTTTCGTGTTTAGGCTAGGATTAGAGGACTTAGACGAACACGTAAGGAATACGGTTTATCTACTCGGTTGACGCTCCAGTATGAAATTGGCAATATGTCACACGTCACGGAAAGGTAACCTTCGTAACAGTTTCATCCAATCTTATTCAGCATTTTCATGTATATGAACCTCACGCCTAAAAATTGATTTTTTAAGTGATTAATGCTTTCGAGTTCATTGGCAAGTGACACTCCCTCGTTGCTTAAGGTTTCAATTCATCTTAAGTGAGTCTGACTATCAGGAACTATTCTTAAATCATTGTATATGTGCTCGCTGCTCAAAATGAAATAGGCTTAATAGTTCATGGCTACGTGACATATGACTTGAGAGTGTTCATCATATTTTCTTTTCCGGCAAAAATGTCCTTTTTTGCCGAGTATATGGTTTTAATATTAATCTCATCTTTTCGAGAAATCTAACCTCAGTGAGAACTTTCTACGAACAGTCACAAAATTTCCAACATCCCACAGGCAGGTGACCCTGAGAGTACAATGTACAATGTCAGTTTCAAGTACTCAATATTCAGGTTCATATTTCTTCCTGTAAATAACTGTATTTCTCGACAATTCTCTCTATTTTTCACTTCATTACAGGTGTATATAAAGTATAGAACATCTCATTGGCAGTCCCAATAAATATCCAAAGGGTATCCACAGCTGTAACTGTGCAGCATTTTGTCTTGGATTCTATGTCATGATTTACATTGACATTTAGATATATACGCAACCCACTAAAGATGAGTGGCAATTCCTCTATGCCGTTTGATGGGACCAGGATGATCGCAGCAAAATTTCTGTGTCCCGTTAAGCATCTACATGATGTGTAAATCTGAGCTGCAACAGCCCACGCGCAGCCAGTGTGTCAATGATTATCAGCAACTACTGTGTGCCATAATAGTCAAGTTTATACACTGCTATTGAAAATCTAGGGTTTATTTGTTACACTACGTGCGAATGACCACGCGGAAGTCACTGAATTTTCATACTTTCATAGGAAAATGAGAATGTGCCTTATAAAAACAAAGGGCTAAGGTTTAATTAAAACCGGATCCACTCAAGGCAGAACACGAATTTGACAAAATGGCAAAGAGGCCAGAAGCTTCGTACCAAAATATAATTAAATCTGCCTGCAGATTTTAGTTCTTACTATCAATACTGATGACACAAGGTCTAACTAAGCCTTGTAATAGTTAACATTTAGGTGACTTAACACAGTTTTCATCTATTTCTTAATTAAAAAGGAGATATTTCTATCACGCGAAAGTTACAATAGAAAACCATTATCATTTGAATAAGGGTAAAAGACGTAACGAACAATATTTACGAAAAGAACAAAATAATCAGTTAATTCATTTACATACAAATAAAAGGACAGAAGAAAACAGTCATTTAAGGTCAACGTCGAGTAGTGTTATTATACATTAAAATGGCCAGTAGTCACGTAATATTTGCGGAGGACAAGATCAGGCCATATTAACTGACAGGCTGTCATTCAGTCTGTCCATCTGTCACGATTAACACCAAGCAAGAGTCGGCGGCATTGTGGTAGAACGCTCTCCGACAACATAAGTCGCCCGGAGTTCGATCCACGGTTGGGCATGAATCTAGTAACCCCATCTCGTAAAATTGATTCCACTGCTACCAAAACTTCAAACCTGAAGCTTGAATCAATATGTTTCACTGGGAACTTAAAGGATTGAAAAAAAGTTGAAAAGAAATGGAGATACTGATTGGAAAAAAACATGTGTGGAGTACTTTCCGAATATCGTGTAAGTCAAATAGAAAAGTGAGAACAGAAGAACGCCACATAAATGCAAAAGAAAAGTCTGAGCCTGGTGGGGAAAAAAGCAGAGACAAAACTTCCACAAAGTAATTATGTACATTAACATAAGTGGAACTCTTGTAGTACTAGTGGACCCCTTTAGGAATAGCCTGCCCCCCACGAATGTACTCTTACCTAAATTTTCCGCTGAAAGTTGGAAGTCAATGCAACAGTTCGTAAGTTTGCATCTGCCGCTGCTCTCTGACACTCCTATTAGGATTAACCCAAGGGTTACCGCAGTCTCCCTTCAATAATAACCCTCCGTTCTAGACCTTTGGTCTGTACACTGTTTTTACCCCTATGAAAGGCAGCCTGTACTTCTGCTCAGTCAGTTCACATACGGTCAGATTTGCTTCTCTTTATAGCAGTGGTGCAACAATGTTTTAGAATTTTGAATGTGGCCATAAATGTTTGCTACAACAGCGTGGAAACTTTACGTGTGAAGCCCAGGTGGCTGCGTACGAAGTAAAGGTCCTTGGCGGTACGGGCTTCATTTCTTGCACAGTCAGCATATGCATCCATTTCATCCCTTAGGAGTGATCTAGGCTAGAACTCTGCTTCTGCATGGGAGACACAGCTCACATATAAACATAAAGAGAATCTTTGTTTTACCTGTCTTACAAGAGGACTTTGATACATATTTTCAAGGTTCTACACGGTGGGGCTTTGTGAGGCACTGAGACAGAAGCTCTCTCCGTTGTTCTATATCTATACTTAAATGCTAATAAACGGGATGCACTGGACCATTACTTCCTGAAACAGTAATTGGCTTCGTGCGCGATATTCTCTCTGCTCATATTTTCTTTGATGTGATCATCTGGCAGGCTTTCCGCCACCTGTGACACTGTTGTTGGCGAGGTCGCAGATCTAAAGCTCTTGGAATTTTGTTAGCTTTCCTCTTTATAGAAATGGGTGGTAAGACAAGGCACTTAGGACCACTATGTAACAGATGTCCTTCAGAGGGAGTACTAGAAAAGGTTACTTGTAGGGACACGTGGGGCTCTAGCGTACCACTTGAGAATTGCTAACTAGATGTTTTCGTATCTTACCGAGTTTCCCGGATTGGGATTTTTGAATATCTGCAAAACGAAACCCGCAGTTGCTGTAGAAGGGTAATTTCAAAAATATGCGCTTGTGCCTTGTACTGCATAAGTGTACGAATTTTGCACTGGCGATCGGCATGAGGTGCGTTTCAGATACATCGCCAGTACCCCCTGTCGTATATACACTCCCTTATGAATCTCCACCATGAGTCCTGGCAGGTACACTCTTCCTGGCCAGTGAATCAGTACAGACTCTTAGGTTCAGTTTGTAGTTTTCTACCTGTGCCCACCTAGAATTATATCCATTTGCTTCGAACTTAAACACGGCTGTAGTTTCACTTTTTTGGTTACAGGATTTCATCATGAGCCGACATCGGTTGGAGAACCATATGAAGACCTAGGAGTACTGGACAGCCGTTTCTTCTTAGTTCCTCAGTACCCGTCTACCGGAGTTCGAACCCACGAGCTTCTGGGCACAGGGCTGGCGAGCTCGTAGACCATTAAGCCACTAGGACCCGATCCAATGACAAATCCAAGAATTCCTACTTCTTTCAATTTACGACATAGCGTGACCTATAACCAATGTCATCACAGGCTAGTATTTGCCCTCATATCCGACCTGCTGCACCGTACTGATTACGAATTACCCTAAGAACCCAGGATTGCTACCTACCACGAGTACTAGAAGGTTGTCCAACGTTCTTCGTGGTCGAGCAGTGGTGATAGCATTCAGCAGCCCTATGTCGCAGCCTCATCTTACTGACGGCATGCGATTGTTTGCTGGAGTCATTAAAGACTCTACTAACATGACAATGACAATAAGCAGTATCCATTCAAAGCTTGTGTTTCACTTTGTAATTCGTTTATCTGCAGTATATTTCCATTCGGGAACCTGATTTTGTTCACTTTCACAGAGCACAGGGTATTTGATCAGCATTGTGGCAACGACTTAATTTGGTCAGAATCTGTTGCCTATATGATGTGCGACCCCACCGTTCTTCGCAGTGTTCTAAAGAGAGTGGCGTCTAATATTGCACCTTCAGGTACTTAAGTCGTATTTTGTATACTATTTTGGATTTGGTGTAATTTAGACCGTTTGTGGTCCATTAGACTGCAGTACAATTTCTGTTTGAATGCACATTTTCGTTAACTGCAAGTCACTTTGTTTTCAGTGATTAAGTTTTTGGTATTTGGATGCCGAATAACCTCATATTTGAAGGTTGGTTCCATGTTAACTCGTGATGCGTCCGAGTTTTGTCATACTTTTCCGTGCGGTTTCCATTTTTTATTATTTTTTTCGTATTCCCACTTTTTAGATAATATTTTTATTATTACTGGTTACTACTATACATAGTAATGGCTTTTATACTTAAATTCGCCTTTCTGGCCATTGGATATTATCCTTGCTACTTCCCTTGTTTCAACTGGCTATTTAAGGTATCACCTCATCGAGTACCTGATTTTCGGTGCCCGTATTACAATTGTTCTTTTGAAATAACGTCAAAGATTCATATACCTGCAGTCAGGCAGCTCTGCATTAACTTTGCACAAAATGCCAATCAAGCTATCCAAGCATCGTGCTTCATTATCGGCTGAAAACTTCACCAAAAGACATAAATCTAGCATGACTAAACAGCATATTAATACGTCATCCCCTGATCTGATACAGACGCTAAATAAGTGCAGATCAGTTGACATTTACTCTTCACTGTCTTGTGTAATAAGTGACTTTCCTAGGAGTATTTACAATGGTACATTTTGTGAGACAGGTATTATTGATACCTATCAAGTCACACTGGATTTCAATAAAAGATCCAACACCAGCTCCTTTGATGTGTTTGAATCCACACTACCCGGATGCCCCGCTCGAAAGCGTCAGTCAGAAAGTCAGAACATGCGTATAGCCTCACTATCACCTGAACCTACTGATATCAATTCTATTCACTGTGGAGCGAGGTGAAAAAGTTGGCAGAAAACAGAAGGCAATGGAGATGTGCAGCTTAAGTCCTATGTTCCTCTAGGGATTAAAGGATATAATAATGATAATAATAATAAATGCTTTGTAATCATAGACGCTGACCTAGATAATCCTTGCAATACACAGACAGATTTTCTATAATCTAATTCTACTCAGCTGGATGCTTTTAGTCAGGGTACACATATGAACAGTAGGTACGTTTATTTTATTTTTTGTTTTATTTATTTTTTATTTTTTATTACAGCTTGATTCCACACTGTATCTTTCGGTACAAGTCTGGAATTTTCAGCATGGATATCGGTAGCTCAAATTTTGCAGGCCGACCATAGATATCAGGTGTGCGTCGGCAGGGGATCGAACCTAGGACCATGTGCATGGTCGACGAGAGTCTTAACCACTGTGCCACCGACCTACGTTGTAGCACCACCGCTACTCTTACTCGATAAGCCCCATATTGTAAAATAAACTTCCATCTGTCATCAACGAAAAGTCAACCTGATGCCGTATTTGTAAGAGCGAATAGCTCATCATCTGCGCAACACATCCACCCAAGCCAATAACCTAGACAATACAAACATTCTTCTATCAGTCCATGCTATCTTACCTCTTAGGTATCTGATTAAACCTGCCGATTGCCCTAACTGTGATACATTACAGTCTTGCGAGAGAATCATTGATCATATTTCCACGGGAGTGGTAGTGCGTTTTCAATGCATGTATTATATAATCGTTTTAGTGTGCTCGAAAGTTTCAGCATTAAAACATTCGAAAGCACACTTTTTAAGGCATATGAAATACCAGATTCCTGCTGTACCTGCATATTTTCGCGTAGTTCTTCATCAAATACATCCTGTCCAATAATTTTCAGATTTAATAGCATTGTAGATGCAAGCTGCCTTGTAAACAACCGGCACCTTTTTAAGAGAACAGGCAGTTGTAAAAGTATACGTATTATTCACAAGAGGATACCAATCCTTCGTTGTGCCACGCAAAGTATCCTAGAAGGTGAAATCAGTTACTTAAAAGATACTGCCAGCCCCATCAAGGTACCAATAAAAGTCATATCTGCTGCAATACAGGTACCAAAAATCACTTTAATACCTTCCAATCTAAACCTGAGATGTTCAGTAAAACTGTGAGGAACAGGATTCCTATGGCTGGCATATACGCTATCAAGTCTGATTCAGTGTTATGCTCCTTGTGCACTTAATTCTCCGAAGAGGACGTCTCAGGTATACGGCGTAACTGAAATTGGTCAACCCTTCTCCTTCCCTTGGACACACCATTTTGATACAACTAGTCGCAGCTACCCAACTTTTAATATGAAGGGGCGTAATAGCAACTTTAATTATGCCTATATTCCAGGCACACAGCCCCATGGACCCAGTCGCTTGAACTTTCGGCATCGTCTGCCTGGAGATCCACCCAGCGAATGCTGCTACTCCGCAGACACGCTCCGCCGACACCAAAACATCATTACCTTTATCCGACTGGTCAGTCTCCTCACCATTGTCTCGCTTCTTCGCAACTGACAGTAATGTCATCAATTAACCTACTGTCGAGCAGTGTGCTTCCTTACTCTCTAATTTGCCCTCTTCAGACATCCAGGAGACCCCAGTTTCCTTATGCCTATGTCCATGCGATCGTGAACTGAGCAACAAGCCATGGATACACCCCTTGTTTCCGCAGATTCTTAACGAAAAAGATGAAGGTTTTACGCACTGAACAATCGATGTACCAGTCAGTGTGTCGTCTAATTTCCGCTTAAACTTCGCCGAATCACACTCCAATTCCCTTCATTTCGCCTTGGTCGTTACCACTGATCAGAGATCATTTAGTATTTTCCCGTAAACGCTCGCCTTATCTGCAGTAAAATTCCGTACTCTAGCTCCTTGCATTAACTTTGCATGCCCTCAATATTGTTAGTTCCAGAAACCTGATTATCGAGGTTCACTTGGAAATTCAGTGTGAGGAGTTTACATCACGGTTCGTTCCAGCCGACAATCGGTAGGACACAATCCGCATATTACAGAATGGCTATCTAGCCGCCGCTTGAAGCCTCCTTTTGTTGGTGTGGTGGTCCCGACCGCCAGAAAAGCATTCCAAGGGCGGCAAAGTGCAATGCGAGAAGGAGTAGGTGCATTCAAACGTTTCCTCTAATTAGGTCTCAGCCTTACATGAGTTGCGTGGCGAGGGCATTCAGTAGTCTGATGGCGGACGACTATTGTCATCGGTGAAAATATGCCCGGCGATTACATCCCCACAAACTCATGTCAGTCAACAACGTGGACATCTATTTCAATTATCTTTCCGTATATTTTTTCTGAAAGTCAGTCACATCGATCGTCACTCTTCTTTCCAGGATGTTAGCATTTCGCTGAAAGAAACATGTGGCAACAATGCTGTTAACACCATTATGGGATCCATTTGGATTTTGTAGAACGGAGTGTATGTGCGCCTAGCTGCAAAAGACGGTAATACCAAACTGCTTTGCATTTTTTAAGATTGGAAAATACTGCTTACCCACGCCAGGTGTAGCAGTGTTTTCATGAGCGTTTACGGGCTAAGTCCAACGAAAATTTTGTCGCTCCGAAAATATTAACGCCATCGGTATATCA